ATTTATTATATCTTTAAAGTTTTCTTCTTTTCTTTCTCTCTTCTTCTCGTAATCCCATGATGCATGTGTTGTATGAAGGTACTTCAAAAAAATTAATAAAAAAAAGAATTACAAGATAATATGAATCTTTATATAAAATTTCTGAAATACCCTCATACCTTTTATAATCATCCCACAGTTCTTGGATATTCTGTTCCATTGTTTTCAATCTATTTTCTCTTTCCATGTCAGCTTTGGAATTTTCTATTGACATATCTTCAAACACACTGATTCTTTCCTCTGCCACGTTCAGTCTATTGACATGCCCATCAAAGGCATTCTTCATTTGTTACAGTGTTTTTATTTCTAGCATTTCTTTTGATTCTTTCTTAGTAATTCCACCTCTCTGATTACATTACACATGCACCTTGCATGTTGTCCACTTTTTCCAGTATAGCCCTTAGTTTATTAATCATATTGAATTCCCTGCCTAATAATTTGAACATTTCTACCATGTATGAATCTGGTTCAGATTCTTACTCTGTCACTTCAAACTATGTTTTTTGCCTTTTAGTATGCCTTGTAATTTTTTTGTTGACAACCTGACATGATATACTAGGTAGAGAAACTTAAGTAAACAGACCTTTACTGTGAGGTTTTACATTTTTCTGGCTAGAGGTTAGTCTGTATTTACTGTTTGAAACCATATACTACTAAACATGAGGCAGTAACTCAGTCCCCTTGCATCCCTATCAATGGTGATTGAAGAGCAGAACCCCAGGAGAACACTGAAAGTATTTGGAGGCCACATAAAGTCATATTTTCCTTTTGCTTATGCATTTCACACACTAGTTTTAATGATCTAAATACCTAATAAAGTGAATGAAGTGTTTCTGGTATCCAGAGGTGTCCACTCAGAGACTCTAAGTCAGCACCAGTGACCTTCCTTCAATGTTGCAGGCACCTGGAGTCTCTGAACAGATGCAGGAGAGGAACATCAGGAAAAGCTACTAATCAGTTTTTTTTTTAAACTTTGCCTGGACTGTCTAGATACAGGAATATTTCTGAAGCAGCTAGTCTCTAACAGTTATACTATTCTGAAATGTAACTATTAACACTCATATTTTCTATTACCTCTTCATATCTGTTGTTGAATGTTTTCTTTTAAAATAATCTTTGTTCTAAATAAATGCTGAGGAGTTGCTTCATTCAAAAATTAAAAAAAATAAAAAAACCTAAACTTTGTGGGATAATATTATAATATTTGTATTCAGATGGCATCATTATTTTGTTCCATGCTTTGATTTTATTTGGCAAATTATCTTCAAGTTTCTTCTGTCCTACATTAAAAGCAGTTGTTTTGATTTTAATAAAACCTTTGAATATAATATAAACTTCATTATAATTTAATATCTTTATGTGTATGTTTTTTGCATTTATATTGCTTTTATAATAAAAATCATGATTAAAAATTGCTTCTTTATAATATATGAGGTTACTTCAAAAAAGTTAATGGAAAAAATAGAATTGAAAGATTATATAAATTATTTCAAAGCTTTTGAAGTACCTTTATATAATGTTAACCATTATTATATTATTAGGCCTGTGTTTAACCAAAATTTAGAATGTCAAAAGAGAAGTTGCCAAATTCATCCAGCAATCAATATTTTTAAAGTTTATTTCAAATACTAAATTATTACTGTGACATGAATTGGCTTTTCGGTAAAAATTTGTTTAGTGAAATTTAAAATTAAAAAGAAATGAAATTAAAGTTAATTATTTTTCAAGGATATTACCAACAATCCTTTTTCAAAGTAATAGATGCTTAAAAGTTATTAAAAATAAGTCTTTTTTCTGAGGGTTATGATAAAAAAAAGCAACCTCAGAATACAATGGATATTATTTCCATTGGAAGCCCTTAATAGGTTTCATTAATCTCATTAACCATATTGAAAAGCAGCATTATACGCAGTTCTTAAATAATCCTCCTGATTTTTCCTTGGGTCACTGTGGCTCACAGAAACGCTGACATAACATATAATTATTTACTTTAATACATTGTTGGCATTATAAATACATGTTACTATTGAAACAACCTAAAAACTTGTTTAAAAGTTTCTTTGAATTAAGTAGTGAGTTAGCAAAGTTGTCCAGAATTAATTTGGGCTAGTGGAAGGGTCAAATAATGGGATAACATATGTGACGGTAATTGGAGAGTTTAATGCTTATGATAGGGAGGAGGTATCATAGTGGGATTTGGGGAAGAAGAGTGAGAAAATGGAAAAAAATGTATTCAGCAAGATCATATAGGATTGATTAAAGATGAAAAAGGCTGAACACAGTGAGAAAAAATGATCTGCAGAAACAATTAGAATAGATACATTAATAAATAAAATACATGTATGCTAAAGTTTGGGGGAGGGAGAGAGATTATTAGGGCCATAGTTTCATGTACTTTCATTTTCTGAACTGATTTTGCCAAAAAAAAGTGTTACAAAATTAATATAATAAAGCCATTTATTTTTAAATCATTGTCATGAAAACCAGAATTTATGCAACAAGTAGAGTTCACTTTAGTTAGATTCTGTAGAGTTAACCTGTTATCAACAAGTTGAACACTTGACATCTTTTTATTTTTAATTTTTAAGAAATGGGAAAAAATATTATGAATTTGAGAACTAAGTATCCACCAAATCCTTGAACAGAGATTCCTTGGGATGAGATCTTATTTGTAGGACTGGCAATAGTCAACTGAGCAAAATTCCTTTCGTATTGAATCTGAGCTTATTTCATTAACTGAAGAATCAATATAAAAAGTGATTTTTGCTAAGGAAATATCTACTTTTCCAAAATGTTCAATTTGATTATAATGACAAAGTCTCACATTTCAGGTTTGCAAACTTTGGACACGTTTTCCAGTTTTTCCTTGGTCTATGATCTTTTGGATTTATTTTTGTTTTGTTTAACTTCCATTAACAGTTGGATTTCTGACTTGATTTTGGACTTTTTGTAAAGGTGGACTTTGGCAGCATGCTTAATTTCTAGCTGTGGAATATTTGGTGATTCTTGGCAGTATTTCTTGAGTATCAATTTAATATCATCATATGTATTAAAATGAGTGGTATTATTCTCTCCTTTTGATAGCATAAATGTTGAATATATTTTGTAGGATAAATTATCTGTAGATAAATTATAACACTAAGAAAAAAGTAAGAAAGTAAGATTTTTCAGTAGGAGGAAATGTCATTGGGAAAAAAAACACTGTTGCAATAGAAGAAAATTACTATCCATGTGTTTTCTTTTCTCTCGGTCTTATTTTTCCCATGTTAAAGAAAAGGTTTTATAAATGACTGTTGGAGTATATTACAATCCATATATGTGTGTGTGTGTGTGTGTGTGTGTGTGTGTGTGTGTGTGTGTGTGTGTATATACATACACACACATATATATATGTATATATGTGAGTGTGTGTATATATATGTATGTGTATATATATTATATATCATATATATATATATAGTTTCAGCATCTAAGGAAATAACTATAAAATTTAGATGCAAAAAGAGAGTATAGAAAAATATCTTTTCAGCTTTACCTTTTTTCCTTGTTTAAATACAGATTTTTTGAAGAGCATTAAAGAAATGACATTTGTGGTTTTGCTTCGAATTGCTTTTACTGTTAAAAAATGTTATCGCTTAGCATGGGTGTTGGTTTCTTAGCTAATTCTATTTCTATTTTACTTTTTGTTTGTTGCATCTGTTAGACCTTGCATTTTAAAAATGGCTGGCTATTTATGTTAGTTAATCCAGGAAGACTTCTTATATGTCAAAATGTTAAATACTTCCTGCACATTACTTAGGCTTCTGAAATGATTTGTATAATTTCATATCCATTTATTGTGAGGATCCTTTTTTCCTCCGTTAATACAACCTTAATCTAACAGAGACAAAGTTCTGTAGCAATGAAAAATTCTAGTTTTGGGGGCCGGCCCGGTGGCGCACTGGATAAGTGCGCCGTTTGGGAAGCGCGGCGGCGCTCCTGCCGGAGGGTTCGGATCCCACATACAGACCGGTTCCCGCTCACTGGCTGAGTGAGGCGCGGGAGCAACACCGAGGGTTGCGATCCCGTTGCCGGTCCCCGGTCCGGTACGGGGGCAACACTGAGGGTTGCGATCCGTTGCCAGACACGGAAAAAGACAAAAGACAAGAAAAAAAAAAAAAAAAATTCTAGTTTTGTATCTCCTTCAGCTTTTTAAATGCTTAAGATGGTTACAGTTTTTAATCATGTCCAGTTTGATATGCAAAAAAATGGTACAACAAAAGTCAACAGAGACCCTATTAACAAAGAGAATATAATGTCCATTGATTCACTTTATAGCCCACAATGTCTATAGATAGAAAACACTACAGTGTATCCAACTGTCCCATAGCCAGAGACTTCACTTTCATTAATCAATCATCTGGATGCCCATATACCTCTAATGTGCAATCATAAAGGGTTGTTTTTTCTGATTATTATTTTTTAGGTGTACGTCATTGAAGAATCAGGGCTAAACATCCTGGTGTGGTCAGTGATTGGAAATAAAAGAACTAGATGGATGTATGGATATGTACCTATCTCTAGTCACAGTCCATTCAAGGTGGCATTTGAAGCTGATCTTAGTGGAGACGAGGACATCTTTATTGCCCTTGCAAAAAGGAAAAAAAAAAAAAAAAAAAAATTCTAGTTTTGTATCTCCTTCAGCTTTTTAAATGCTTAAGATGGTTACAGTTTTTAATCATGTCCAGTTTGATATGCAAAAAAATGGTACAACAAAAGTCAACAGAGACCCTATTAACAAAGAGAATATAATGTCCATTGATTCACTTTATAGCCCACAATGTCTATAGATAGAAAACACTACAGTGTATCCAACTGTCCCATAGCCAGAGACTTCACTTTCATTAATCAATCATCTGGATGCCCATATACCTCTAATGTGCAATCATAAAGGGTTGTTTTTTCTGATTATTATTTTTTAGGTGTACGTCATTGAAGAATCAGGGCTAAACATCCTGGTGTGGTCAGTGATTGGAAATAAAAGAACTAGATGGATGTATGGATATGTACCTATCTCTAGTCACAGTCCATTCAAGGTGGCATTTGAAGCTGATCTTAGTGGAGACGAGGACATCTTTATTGCCCTTGATGACATCTCTTTCACTCCTGAGTGTGTGTCTGGAGGTAAGTGATTTCTTCAGAAAACAGAAATGAGTTTTGTTTTTAATATCTAAGTACAAAAGAATTGGACATTTCTGAGGAATTACATTTATTTCCAAGTCCAGTCCTACTCATACATTGAAGAATAACAGCATGTAGAATAAGAGCTAAAGTTTTTCTGCCCTTGAACTTTGCCATGAAATGATCAAATCCTCTAGGCAACAAAATAACTTTGCACTAAAGTTGTTTTAGAAACCCTGAGGAAGTTTAGTTCCATTAATATAGCTTTAATGTCTACTTTCTTTGTTCCCAAATGTTCACAATAACTGCCCAAGGTAAAGGCCCCACTGGCCACGTATGATCTTCCAGACTGACCTCTCTACCGATATTATCCTTTCCCCTTGCCTGGGCCATTGCCCTTCTCCTAACTGTTTCTACTGTGTGATCCAGAATGCTCGCTCTATTTCAAAAAGAGCAAAAGTTCTGTCATGAACCCTTTTACTAAAAATATCACCTTATAACAAGAAATCTGAATTTCTGCTGCTTAAGATGCTTCCACTTACGTGGGACTGTTTGTTCTCTTATAAAGTCTTCAGTTTTGAAATATTGGATAGTAGGGTCAATGTCTTTCTAGCTACTCAATGCCTCTTTTAAAATTTTGTTCTTACAGCCCTATTCAAAAGGTTATTTTTCTGTGAGGCCACCTCTGGGTTCATATTCTTCTCATGGTTTCCCTCTGGATCCTAAATCCTGGGCAATCTCAACTTCCAGGTGAAACAGCCTGTGTAAAATACTGACCTCTGATCCCAAGCACCTTCATAAATGTTCTTCCTCAGTATCCCCACTCTCAGGATTACATTCTGGACCTGTCATCCCCTCTGAAAACTCAGGGTTGAAAATCTCACATAATCATTACACCTTCTATTTCTTGATTACTCCTCCTGAACCTGTTTTTCAGTAACATTGATATGAAAAAAGAACATTTTAGATTCCCAGGGTGACATCTTGTAAATGAGACAAACGCAATACAATAAAGCAACTCCAGCAATTCTGAGTCAGCAGAGAAATGCACTTGTTTTTATAGAGCCTATTTTCTTTAGCCATGTGAGTTTCCAAGGGTGGAAGGTGTTTTCTGTTTTTCTTCTATCATTTGAAATAAGTAGACTCACATTTGTCTCTGTGATGAAGAAACATTTTGCAGGTCTGGTAGGACATTGATACTTTAAAACTTTATGAGAAGTTGTAAAGTATTTGAAACAACAGTGAGTGTGGAATTATAATCTGGTTGAAAATACTGTGCATACATACACAGGTTTGTCAGGAGTCTAAAAAGAGGGAAAACACCATTAGACACAACTGGGGTGAGGGTAGGAATCAGATGATCTCCATATAGGAATTGGGTAATATACTGGGTTGAATAGTGTCTCCCCCAAAGTTTGTATCCTTCCCAGGACCTCAGAATGTGACCTTATTTGGAAATAAGGTCTTTACATATGAAAATAAGATGTAAGTTAAGATGAGGTCATATCAGAGTAGGGTGCACCCTTGATCTAATAAGACTGGTGTCCTTATGGAGAAGAGACATGTAAACAAACACATAGAGAGAACACCATATGATGAAGGAGGCAGAGACTGAAGTGATGCATCCACGAGCCAAGGAATGCCAAGGATGGCCAGTAAAACCAGTGCAGAAAGAAAGGCATGGACCACGTTCTCCTCTAGAGCCTTCTGAGGAGCATGGCCCTGCCAACACCTTGCATTCAGACTTATGGACTCTACAACTACTGTAGAATAAATGTCTGTTGTTTTAAGCCATCCAGTTTGTAGTAATTTGTTATGGCAGACCTGGGAAACCAGTACAGCTGGGAAAATTGAGATCTACTTTATAATTAAGAAGTGGGTTCAAATGTTCATTACACTAAGTCTGCAACATACACACTGACAGAGGGATGAGCCTCGGGTTCAGTGGAGCTACCTGCCTCCCATATGGATAGTAGAATAAAAACTAAGGCTATAGTTCAAGGCAAAGGATGATCACACTTACGTAGCATTTTGAATCGAGAATATTGTTAACGAAAATTTACTCCTAAGTAAGGGTATTTGTACTTTTTGATCCAGTTGATAAGATAAGCCTCAAAAGTCTCTTGCTTATAACTAACCATTAGGAAATGCTTTAATTTTTTAAATTAATTTTTCAGTGACTGTATCTTTTCTAAATATCTGCTTGGAACCCAGTTACTTTGTTTTTTACTCCTTCATTTCCTTACTCTCAATACAGGTTAGTGAGTAAGTTCTGTAGATTTTGCTTTCTTTTCTATTTTACTGCCCAAACTCTAGTTCAAGGTCTTTTAATCATTAGAATCCCTGTAATGGACACATAACTGATTTATCTAGTTTATTAACCCCCCACACATACACATATAAACTCCATGTTAGTCTTCTAGTCCCAATTATATCATAAGTTCCAGAAAGGTGGACCTCTCATCTTTCTCACTTGTGTTGATAACAGAAGGAATATCTTACTGAAAGCAACAAAATCTGACTTGGGCTAACTTAAGCAAAAATAATAATAATAAATTTATTGGAAGGATATTAGACAGCTCCAAAATTCAAAAGAAAGGCTGAGAATCCAAGCCAGAAAAGTAAGAAGGAAGCAAGTGAGGTGGACGATATCACAGGGTGAAACTGGCTGATACCCCCGCTTTTGAATTCTCCTTTCTGAAGCTGGGCTGTCTACTCTCTTGCCATCATTCAAAATAATCTCCAATCGCCCCTGCATTACTTCCTCAAAATTAAAAGTCCTGGTGGGAAGCAGACATTAACCGATCTTAAGTCCACATTTCAAAGTTTTATTATTACTCTCTCCTACCTAATTTCCACATCACAAAATACCCTATAAGATATACCGTAGGAGAACTGTAAACTTAAGCCTAAGAGTATGTGAAACAGAGTACAGCTTCATGTGGGGAGGATTAAAGATAAGTTCTTGAAGAAGTTGGCTATTTTGCTTCTCATTTTGTCAAAATCAAGCTTGACAAGTCTGCAACATTTAGGCCAAATTATAACACTGACCAGCAACAATAAATCCTCTATACCTTAATGGTGTATGGTGGAGAGAGACCAAATAAAAAGGAAATTAATGAAAATACATAAACTCATACAAGTTATAAAGAAGAAGAAAAATGCTACGATGCTCACAGATGCCTGCTAATAAGCTTCCTATCCTTTGGTAAGACTCCTATCATATCTATCTGTCTCTGTCTGTACAATAATTCCTTTAAATGAGACTTCTTGCCTTTTGCTACTCTTGCCTCATGACCTCTCATCTCCATGACTTTAGTCCTGCTGCTTCTCCGTCTGGGAACACACTGCCCTTTATCTCCTCTTGCGTAAACCCTTCAATATCAAGGGCAAAGCAAAAGCCAACTTTGTCAAGAACTTATCTTTAATCCTCCTCACATGAAGCCATACTCTGATTCACATTTTCTTAGCCTTCAGTTTACAGTTCTCCTATGGTATATCTTATAGAGTATGTTGTGATGTTTATATTTTGTTTCCTGTCACTTTTAGTTTCTCTACATCAGAAAATCCTCATTGTTGTTATCCTGATTTTTTAGAATTTAGTAAGAATGAGTGATCTTTAACTTTAAGGTTGATTGAGAAAAATATAAAATAAATTTCAAGTCAGTATATCATATAGAGCAGATATTCCTTCTATTGTATATTATCGTAGTTTTAGAGAAATTATTTAAAACATGATTTTAATGCAAGAATCATTTTTTTATCATTTCGATTCAGTTAGTGATTCATAAGGCCTCATTTAAAAATGAATACTGATGAATGTATAAAAAGCTGAAAGAAAATGATTATCAGTCAATCCTGATTCACTTATTGGATCATAGACTATTATAAGACTTTAAATCTATTATTGTGGTTCATGAAGTTCTTACTGTTTGTCAAAGGACAGGGTCATTTCTTTTACTCTTAGAAGGGATATTAGATTCGAAGGCAAAACACTAGAGCCAGAAAATGGCATTAAAAGCTAATACCAGGCAGGCTCAAGAAAGCAAAACCTGCATTCCATGCTTGACAACCTTTGGAGGAGCTTGCCTGTTATACTAGGAGGTGGTTCTTTCTAGGTTTCCTGCTGATCATCAGGCTGGAAGGAATTTTGTTGAATTACGGGGAAAAAATCCAAATGACAACCATGGAAAAATCATTCCCAGTGTGAACTGTACTTCATTAGCCTGGATTTGACAAGTGTCTCATACTAAACCTGAAGATAAAACACAAATCACTGTCTCAACACTCTGTCTTAAAGATAAATATTTTATGTGAACAATATATTGACCATGTAAATATATGTAATATATACATTAATATATAAGTAATATAATGCATATGTAAAATAAAATATAATATGGTAGCTTAGTTATTTTTCTACCTTATGGAAACAATAATCAAATCCTAAATTCTTAGTCACTTTTGGAAATTATCATACCCTTTGCTGACTCTTATTTTTAATCAGAAATGCTCAGCATCCAACTGTTTTTACCAGGCCAAGTATGTCAGAGAGGTTCTGTGAGCTTTTCACAGCCAGGATCAATCTGGCCCTGTTTTGTTCTCTTGGGCTAATAGAATCTACTTTTATTACAATTTTCCTGATTCCCAGGAGCACATATGTTGTTTGCTGGAAAGCATCCAGACTTTATAAAAACAAGTTCGTTTGTTGCCTAAGAAATAGAATTACAATGTGACTCTGCTTTACTAAAAATTCTAAATATTAAGACAGATTTTTTTTTCAAGCAGAAAAATAAGTAACTTTAACAGAATGACCAATTTTTCTGATAGCACCTTATTTGCATGTTAAAACATTTTACCCAGAAAAGGCAGGTTACTCTTTGTGAAATAGTTGGAAATGGGAAAAAACAAAAACAACAAAATACTTTCTTGGCTCAGCAAAGAGTGAACGTGTGTATGTGTCTGAGTCTTTGAGTCTTCATTTTCACTAATATAAACTTGCT